CAACTACAAATTCGCTCCATTCCCGGAATGCTGGCTGAGCATCAGCCCATCGCTTTGCAACCCCCGACTCCGCTATTGGCGTTAGCACTTCTGCATGTACTTCTTGCAGTCTGCTAATCAATTCGGCTTTCGTGCCACTCGTTTTAAATTTAAGTTTTTGCAATACTTCTTTTAATTCCGCGACTGTTAAATGATTTAGGTCCATGACCACTTCTGAGATCTGTCGCTACAGACAGATTCAGGACAACCAGCTTTATTCAGTTCAAATTAACGACTGACTCATTTTATATTTACATAAAATGAATTCACATACAAAACCAACAAGATGAGTATTTCAGTATACCGACAGTAAGAATGAACGTTATGAAATTAGAATGAATACAAAATAATGAATGAAAGACAAATATTATAAAATGAATAAATAGAGATGCCAATGAATATGTAATTAGCGATGACAATAATATAAAAAACAATTATAATTATTGTTATTAGTAATACATAAACTGGGAACTTTTACAAACCTAGTTTGTAAAACGTTTGTTGGTATAGAGCTTAATAAAAATGCACACCAAATTGCTCAGATTGGGGAGGAAACCCAACTTAGCCACACCGGATTAACTTGCTTTGTGTGCACAGGAAAATTCCAGCATAAATTAATTAATCACCAAACCTACTTGATCAAATTAAGAGTTAATGATAAAAACTTTATGTTTTTATCGCGGTTACGATTAACTGTTTAACTGTTAACTGTTTAATCAGATTAAAATTAATCATGATTAACTGTAAGCAGATTGAATTCAATCGAATTAACTAATTGATTAAAAAATCAATCGATTAATGCCAACATTGATTTCACATACATATCTCAATACCAAGTTCCAGTTTTCTCCCACAAATACTTCCAAACACATGTATGTAATATGAAAATTCCAATTTGTATGGAAGGAAACTTAAGTTATCGGAATCACTTTCAGTATAACGCCATCTAATGTGTACCAAATTTCGTTCTGACTGGGAGACCGGTTAAGGAAGTAGCCTATTTTTCAATCCAGGTAATAAACCATCTGTGAGCAAAATTTAATTTTTAAACAGGAGGCAATTCTTAAAAAAGTAATCTAGGTCGTAAGCTATCTGTGTGCAAACTTTAATGCAAATCAGTTCAGTCATTTCCGCGTATTACTTTAATTAAAATTTTCTAATAGGTGGCAACTCCTAAAATAGTAGCCGGTTTTCCAACGTAGGTCATAAGCTATCTCTGTGCCAAATTTCATGCAAATCCGTTCAGTCGTTTCTGCGTATTAATTTAATTAATTTTTTATTAAGGTGGCAACTCTTCCAAAAAATTAGCCTATTTTCCACTGTAGGTCATAAGCTATCTGCTTGCAAAATTTCATGCAAATCCGTTCAGACGTTTCCGCGTGTTAATTTAATTAAATTTTTTTACCAGGTGGCAACTCTTAAGAAAAGTAGCCTATTTTCCAATCTACATAGGTAATAAGCTATTTTGTGCAAATTTTCATGCAAATCCGTTGAGTCGTTCCCGCATATTAAATAAATTAAACTTTTTTAACAGGTGGCAACTCTTAAAAAATAGCCTATTAACCAATCTGGCCCATAAGCTATCTGCGTATAAAATTTCATGCAAATCCGTTCAGTCGTTTCCGCGTGATGATTTCCCAAACATCCAAACATACAAACTTTCACATTTATAATATTAGTAAGATTATTTTTGTATGAAAGCAAAGCTGATTACTTAACGAGCACCATATAAATCCAAATTTCCAAAAAAGGGTATCCAGTTTTGCAGGGCATTAAAGTTTAGTACAATAAAGTGCAAATATGAAGTACATAGCTAAGGCATTTTTTGTCGTACAAACTATGTGCGCCAATTTTTTATATTGAATACATATATCTGTACCGTTCAATCAAAGAGACTTCAAAAGGTTTGACTTTGAATAAAAAATAACCAGTTTCTCTTGAAAATGTTTATATTTTTATTAAGTTTCTATTAAAACGGCATCTTTAACTATATCTATGGCTAGTTAAACGTTAAAATATTGTTTGGAATCCCATGAAATGTTGCTTTAAAGGGAAAAGGGCCTATACCGGCTTAGGCTACTTTAATTGAACGGCACAGATATGCAAATAAAAAAAATCGTTTCGTTATTTATAAGAAAAAATATCAGAAAAAAGTCGTTTGTTTGTTATTAAAAAAAAGTATCAAAGTAAAAATTTATTTTCGTTGATCATTAAAAAAATATATCTTGTCATTTGAGACAACATCTTGTGTGTTGTGAATTTGACAACTAATGTATGAAGCCGTTCAGAAGACGCGTTACGATCAACTGCTGCGCCTTCTGAACCTACCCATTGTAGTTCTCAAAAAATATCACGAGATATATTTTTCATTATGCAAAACTGCGTTTTCATTTACGATACCTTGCGCATGCGTTTAGAATGATACGTAAGTTGGCAAATCGTAAAATTTCTAGCCTTCTTAGAAACAGAGCTTACTGCTTTACAAAGTGTCGAATCCCACACTTTTGTCTAATGAAAATCTTTTTTACAACAATTTCTTTGCACTCCTGAAAAGTGCCGATTTTCACATTCGATGGTTTGACATGGTAGCGACGAGATTTACGAGCATTTTTTCTTAAGAGCTGCATACTGATTTAAGAATTTTTTTATAAAAGCAAATTTATTTTCCTTTACAAATAAAAAAATTTCGGAATATGTACATATGTACATACATACGCAGCCATATAACGAATTTTCATTGAAATCTTTTTTTTGATAACACTGTCAAATCGGTATTGAGTAAAACCAAAGGCGAGTGATAGTTTTTGAGTTTCATTGAGTTTTTTAAATAAATACTTAAATTAGAGGCGTATGTATGTTTAAAAAAATCAGTCGCGATGCTTTATATACATACATAAGTATGTACATACATATGTATCTGGACTCACAAATCGGATTTTACGATTTTAGTTGTCTGCATAACCTATTGGCGAAATAAAAACTTTATCCGATATTTTTAAATCGAAACTATATTTTTACATACATATGTACATATATATATTTAATATGAAGTTAGAATTTTCACATCAATTTGCGCAATCTTCAAACCCATGGTTTTAATTGTTCGCATTTCGTCAGGGTTTTCCCCACAACTTGGTTTTGTTGCAGAGAAGCGACAGAGCAAGTGACGTGAAAAAAATATATGCGCACACTTACATATGTATCTATGCACATATGTATCTATGCACATACATATCTATGCACATATGTACATATCTATGCACATTAGAGTG